AGCATAAAACAGATCATATTCCACAAATACGAAACCAATCTCAAAACGAGTATATCTCAAAGCAACCTGAGAATCTCAGGTTTGCTCCATGTTATAATTATTTGATTTTCATTTTGCATTTTTAATAGATATAATTGATAATATTATTACACATAGTCCGTATAGTCCGAATTACGTCACCATAACTTCAGCGAATGGCAGTGCAGCATACTGGTCACGTGATTTCCGTCTGTATCACGTGACCAGTATACAGACCTGACTATAAGAAAGATATAAATTATAGTTTTATACAGAGATCAGAAATACTGTGTGGATATTGTTAATCTTGAACACTCGATCTCGATATCCAATGTGGCCACTTTTAAATGTATCATTTACTCTCAGACAAATTAGAATCAATGGAAATTTAAACCCCAAGGGATTCAATGATAAACCCGAGGGCGCAGCCCAAGGGTTTATCATTGAATCCTGAGGGGGGTTAAATTTCCATTGATTCTAATTTGTCTGAGAGTAAATGACATTCCTTTTTAAAAAGCTGGGTTTCACCTGTGCAAGCATAAATAAAAAATTTCATTGAAACCCGGCGGGATTTTTCATTAAACACTGCATTGAAAATCTTAGAAATGCGCGATTTTTTTTACAAAATTCACAAATTCCAATTTTAAATCAGTTAGTTCTCTTTCAGCATCCGACATGAACAGTTTATTACATTAGTATCCAGTATCCACGACAAGATGATCTTAGGGAAATATTTATGAGCCTGGAACAATTTCAAAGGCTTTTACCAAGTTCTCTTTCATTAAACAAGATGGATTAAGTTGAACCAAACTGTGCCTTATGGAAATCTGATAATTTATTCTTCTTCAAATGGTCAGTTCCCCGCCAACATCAAACATAAACAGTCGCACCTCAGTCATTACTTTCCTGGTATCCATACGTCAAAATGAACGAGATTATTCATGAGAAATATTTGTGAGCCTGAAGGGTATGTATTTAAATAAAAGAGATTCTGCGGTCAGCTGGAACAAGATGAATTTAACTCTACCTTGTGGAAATTCGACCTTTTACTCTTCAAGGCTCAGCAGCAACAGAATCAGCGTGGGGAAAATGGAGCTAGTTTGTCGTTGTCGAGAGAAGAGTTGTAAAACCATTGAAAACCTGGCGGGATTCAATGAAAATTGTTGCATACCAAAAAAACAGCTTTTTTATAAAGGATTGCTTAATCCATTCCTTTCAGTTTTACTTACAGTTTTACTTACAACAACGGATAACGGAGAGGAATTAAAATAATCCGTAGGTTTGCATAAAAGCAGATGGAGATCATTGTTTGATCCCGAGATTCACAAAACATAAGTCCTTACTTCAGTACACAGAAACAGACTATACACGGGAAGTGTATCAAATGATCCCCTTCTTGAAAGATTATCGTGCAATGGACCCTTTAGTGAGCTAGACTCAAAAAGATTTGTGCAACAAAATTTTTTTTAAAAAAATTGTAGACTTAATTTCAATTGACATTTAATAAATGAGGAGCATTCTTGATTCCAATGGGTGCGGTGCCGGCCCTAATACCTTTAACTGATCAAGTTTGCCGGAAGGTTTTCCTCACTTAACACTGTCTTTGCAAGCTGTATTATAGAGGGCGTTTTTTAATTCTGTAATTTTTAAAATGCTTATATATCACCCATTCAAAAAAATATTCTTGATTTTAAAAGAAGTTCTGAATAGTTTATTAGTGAACGTCTTATTATTCGAAAAGAAAATCCGGAAAATAAAAAATATGTAAATTCGCAATTTCATTTTCCGTCACTTTAAATTTTAACCAAAAATCATGTTTTCTGGAGGGGCGGACCAGAAATAATGCTCCAATCTTTTTGAAATTTTAAGACGACCTAAGCCTGGTCATAACGAGGGTGCCCTATAAATTACATCTGCAGATCGATTAAAAAAAGAGGTCACAACGTTAAAAACCCTGTCCCCCCCCCTCTCGCCCATGAGAACGGAGGCCATTTTGAACATTTAATGAAGAAATCTAAATAATTTTTTTGCTTTATACAAAACGTACATATGTGTATACAACTTTAATTGTTTTCGAGATTTTTAATAGATTTACACACAGAGATCTCTATACTCAATAACCAGAAAAAGCTTAAAGGGTACCGTTATAAATCGGGCATTGTCCTCTTTGCATGTAGGGTCACTTGAAATTATGCTTACAGTCCCTTTAAGTACGATATTTTATTCTTGTCTTCTCCTTACCTCTAGTACTAGATTGAGAAGTATATTTAGGAAAATAAATGAAGTTAAATTTTGCTGGATTCAATTCTGAAGAACTGAGAATTATCTTTATTAAACAACATAAACTTTATACAACCAGAGTAAAAATCAAATAGTGAGGCTTCCACACTTAGCTCCAGTAAAGGAACTGAATACTTCTAGCTTCAAACTCTAATTTTGTAATCCTTATATCTTTGCAACGTGGTTGAACTCAATTGCTTTGGATTTTTTATCTATTTAGACACTGCACTTGAATACAAAAAATAAGTAATTAGTTAAAGCAAGGTCGCACTGGTAACCCCGTGGCCGAATTTCAAAAATTTAAACCCCGTCGCCGAACCGCCAAAAACCGGTTCCAATTGAAAACCGGCTTAATTCTCGAAACACTATATACAATTAATCAAGTGAAACAAACCATGTTTGACCCGCGTCTCAAATTTGAGGCGCGGCTCAAATTCATAAAAATTCAGGCTCCGCTCTCCGTTCTATTAATTTAATAATAATCAGTCACAATCAAATTGTAACTATGCTCTACTTGGCCTTCGTCTTTAATCAAACTAGAAATTGAAATTAATTAATTCAAATTGTGTGATTTAATTCTTGTTAATAAGTAATTCAAACTTTGCGTTTAACAATTCTTGGAACTTAGTTTAAAACAAAACTAAATGTTTAAAACTATTTGATAAGTTGAGTTAAGATTATTATAAAGTACAATTCTAAATTTCGAATTTTTGTACAGAAAGTACCAGTGAATTTTAGATCAGAATAGTTGATTTTAGAGTAATTTTGTAGTTTTTACTGTTCAACAACCAAATCAAGTTTTAATGAATTTTCTACAGAGCGTCTCATATCATATTGGATTATCTCCAAGATTTAACTCTGAAATACGCACATAATACTCGTAAACCTGCAAGTACATTTGTATATTATGCGTATTCAACTTTGTAAAATGATTTATTCTCTTTAAATTTTCTGATTAGTTCCGAAAATCGCAATTTAGAGCCATAAACGATCCGCAATGATCTAATTAAAATAAGTTGATGTTTTATAACTTAGAAGACATCAAAACTCTGCTAAAATAAATTGTGGTAAAGACAAGTGAACTAAAAAATGTATACGTTTATTAACAGGCATCAGGATAAAGATTTTAAAAATACATCAAAATAAAAATCAAGCTAATATGCCAGTTTTAATAACAAAAATACTATTAAGCTTAAAATACTATTAACTTAATATGTGATTAAGNTTTCGAAAATTTAAATTTTTTTCTGTTAATTTTCAACAATATTCGGTTATGGCAAATAGATTATCAAGTACAATAGGTGGCAACAGAGAAATTAACCAATTATACACGACGTCACAAGTGTCAAATATAACAAGGAAAGCGAAATTTTCTCACATTACTTGACATGTTTTCTAAGATTAAATAAAAAAGTGTAAAAACAGAAACTAAAGAACACATAAAATTGCACTTATTTTATTGTAAGAAAAGCACTTTATTCTAAAACTATCACTATTATTGATGATTTTGTCCGACACAAAAACTGAATTGACACTTGTGACGACAGAATACAACTGTACTGAGAGTGTACAAATTCTACGTTGCCATCTATTGTACTAGAATCTATTTGGGTTATGGAAGAAAGATGTATTTTTGGTTAGATGTATAAGACTACGTAAGGAGTATAAGAGAGAATAAATAAAGTTGTATTTGTTGTATTGTTGTATGTTGAGCTATAACTAGAAAATTTAACAGTTAAAATGCAAACCAGGTCTCCTCTCCTTCTCATCCCCATTATACAGACAATCTTATAAAGAACTTCAATCTGCAAAGTAAAGATAAGAAAATAAGAATCGGTTTTTCGGCGTAATTTCATCGAGGGATTTTGTTAAGATTAAAGTTTTTTGATGACCAAGGAGTAGAAAGATATGGAGAAAGAATTGTCTCTGTTCGCCTAAATTTACGTGACTGCACTGCTCTGCAGACAGAGCTATTGGAGGCATTGATAGAGCAAGATCGTGTCCCTGTTGAGGCATTGATAGTTTACGAGATTGTGTTCTAGTTGGGGCATTGATAGCTCAAGATCGTTAGTTGAGACATTGATTGTTAATTGCTAGTGTCCGTGTTGATATCGATAGCTAACGAGATCACGCCCAGTGGTAGTGGCGTTGAATGATTAAGCCTTCGTGTCCTGGTTGACATTGTTTGTTGACCAGAATGTATACGGGTTTAGACATTGATAGCTAAGAGAAACTGGATTGTACCTGGATAGATACGGGTTAGGGAAACCATTCTGGAGTAGGATATTTAGTACAGACCTTAGTTATTTCAAACTATAAATTCTGTTAGATCAAATAATCGAAGTTTGAAATAGTAAAGACATATGGGTTAGAAAATTTATGTTTGTAGCAAAGACTCAACTCCATTGTAGATTTCTTCCCTAAACCTTTCCAAAACTGGCATACACATAACTATCTTGGAACCCGCCTTTGTCTGGAATTTAAACTATTTCTTTCTATTAAAGTCAACACACCAAGCTAACAATATTCCCGTGGTTTTAAAGAGTTACACAATCAAGTTTGAGAAAAATCAGACATCGGACATAAACAAACAAACTGACAAACAATTTCAGCAAATAATTTCGCATATCAAAGACGATCTTCAAGTTCTGTCATCCTTCTTGGGACGCCCAGTAGCTCATAAATAAAAATATACTGTAGTATCAAACAAGTTGTAACATTATTTATTTTGTTCAATGAAAACTAGAAAACTCTTGAAGAGATTTCCTGCTCAAAGCTGGAACTGTAGAATTAGGACCAGGATATCCTACTGGAAGCAACATTAGAAGCTTCTCATTCTCTACAATATAATATTATTTAGATATAAATATAAATATATCCGGCCTGCCTGGTCTATTAAGTTCTTATTCTACCTGGTCTATTGAGTTCTTATTCTACCTGGTCTATTGAGTTCTTATTCTACCTGGTCTATTAAGTTCTTGTTCTACCTGGTCTATTAAGTTCTATTCTACCTGGTCTATTAAGTTATTATTCTACATGGTCTATTAAGTTCTATTCTACCTTGTCTATTAAGTTATTATTCTACCTGGTCTATTATGTTCTTATTCTACCTGGTCTATTAAGTTCTATTCTACTTGGTCTATTAAGTTCTTTATTCTACATGGACGTTTAAGTTCTTTATTCTACCTGGTCAATTAAGTTCTATTCTACCTGGTCTATTGAGTTCTTATTCTACCTGGTCTATTAAGTTCTTATTCTACCTGGTCTATTAAGTTCTTATTCTACCTGGTCTATTAAGTTCTATTCTACCTGGTCTATTAAGTAAACTTCTAAGCGCAGGACCACAGTTAAGAGGAGTGCTGGTTAGTGTCACCAACCCGGCCTGTACAGAAAACATTTGTAAATATGAACTGATTACTCGCCACAAAATCAAAATCTTTGCAGTTCAATGGTTTGTATCTTGATTTTTAAAACTACATCTGGTAGTCGACGTTTAAATGTCAAATGGTTTACACCATCAGGTTGCAAAGATCTCGAATGTTTAAAAGGGATCAAAATGAGGCCCACTATGCGGATTTATAGATATATATCAATACAATAAAGACGACTTTCGAACTGAATTTTTATTGATATCAAGCGTTTAAACAGTATGAATACACATAAATATGGAAACAAAAAGAAGCTGTCAATCAAAAAAGCTTCTATGTATTTATTTGTAAACCTATATTTTGAAAAAAACGATCAAAACTTAAAGGGAGTGTTCGCGAAAAATGAAAGGGGGTATAGGCTTAATGCGATAAAAAAGCGCTTTTGATCGCTACTAATCTTACTTCTATCTGTTGCGTCTATAAGGAGAAAATTGTTAAAACGCCTCATACCTAATACAAATTGAGAAAATTGCAACATACGACTTAGACAGTAAAAAAATCAATTTAATTTCAAACAAATCATTTAGATATTACAACCTATAGTCATCGATTATCTTTCGCCACATTTATATAAAGTTGATTTTTCACAATATTTTTTAATTGTTATGATCTGAGAGCTACATATAAAAACATTTATTCCTGTTTCGAGGATTTTTGGTAATGAAGACGACATTTTCATATTTTCCAGGAATGTTCGAAAACAAGTCGTAAGCTAAATATTATTTAAAAAAACAAAATCAAAACTAGTATGAAATATCAAATATATACAAGTGTGGCGAAAGATAATCGATGACTATAAGTTGTAATATCTGAATGATTTGTTTGATATTAATTTGATTTTTTTACGGTCTAAGTCGTATGTTCCAATTTTCTCAACTTGTATGGGCGCTACGCTCTTCGGTATGAGACGTCTTTATCAATTTTCTCCTTATAGACGCAACAGATAGAAGTAAGATTAGTAGCGATCAAAAGCGCTTTTTTATCGCATTAAGCCTATAACCCCTTTCATTTTTCGCGAACACTCCCTTTTAATAAAACACCCGTCTTCATTGTAATGATATTATCGCCGACCACTGTTACCTGTTGAACTGCTGCTAGGAATAACCCTGCGGATATACTGCAGGAAATTTCATTATAATAATGAACCTAAACAATTAAAGATCTTAGGTCTGAATTAATGAAATCCAAGAGAAAATAATTAAACTAAGGACGAAAGGTTCAACTGCATTTTTATGCAGTGCAGTCTGGGGAGCACTAAAAAGTAGTTATTCTAACCTAACCTAGTTCAACCTCTTCATACTTTTTATAAAATTCTATCTTTTTATAAAATTTGATCTCAGAATGTGTGTATTTTCTACATGTAAACATATGTATAAAATTATAAGAAAACATAAGTCAAACAGACAAACAAACAGACAAGCCAAATTTATAAATAGATGATAGAAATTACAGTAAGCTTTAGATCGGTCAATCTTTAAATATTGTTTAATATCCATGTTTAATATCCATGACATTTTTGAAAAGAGAATACAGTGTTACCAACTAAGAGAATACAGTGTTACCAACTAAGAGAATACAGTGTTACCAACTAAGGATGAAACTTTAATGACGAACCAAAAAATCTCTAAACGATCTGAAGGCGGATTTTTTTCTGAATTGCATTTTTTGTTTTTACATTTTATTAGTTTTTAAAGATTATAAAATTGAATTGACAAATATAAAGAAAGGAGTTGCGATGAACCAAGAATAACAGTAAAACGGCTAAATGAATTCCGTATTGTCGTCTTTGAAATCTTATTTTTTTTGGGTAACCTTGTATACATTGACAGCTTTAAAAACGATAAACTTTCAGTTATAGAATGTTATTTTTAAGTGTCAGAAGGATTCGAGTCATGGCCACAATATCTTTCCAACCCAATGTTGTAGACTTTTCAAACTATGAGTTATGTTGGATAAAATAATCTAAGTTTGAAATATGAAAAGTGTAAACCATCAGGTTGTAAAGATTCAAAGATTCAGCGGTTAGAAAATTTGAGTTTGTGGAAAAGACTTTACGGAACTTTTGGCAGGTTGATAATTGTTTGTTAGAAAACTAGAAAATATCTAATTTAAGGTTGATAATTGTTTGTTAGAAAACTAGAAAATATCTAATTTAAGATTGAGAAAAGGTTGGTTTAAAACTAGAAAAGAAAACTTGAAGGCTAAACCTCAATTTCGTTATTTCCCATTGTTCTACAAATTATTGTCATATTTTACTGAAATGTATATTTTCAAGATTTATACAATTTATCTAGTTCAAGGCTAAAATATTCCTTACACTACAGATAATTCTAGAGATATAAAACAGCAGGGGGGGAAAAGGGGGAGTCAAGTGTTTTCAAGGTCAAAATTTGGAACCCGAAAACCAACCTTCTAATCGCGGATTTTCAATCAAATCAATCTAATCTAGACTTAGGAAAAAGGTCAAACTCATGCAAACTAATGGTACGACTTTGTGACCTAGTAGCTCTTCTTATTTTGATTTGATCTTTAATTAGACGTGATAAATGTATTGTAAATACATAACACAGGTAAATACAGGTTTAATTAGACGTGATAAATGAATTGTAAATACATAACACTCTCGTTTTTTTTAATGTTTCAATTTCAGCTGATGAGTACAATGTTGTTATACAGGTCTGTTTGTTTGTATCCAATAAACGTCAAAACGGCTGAACCGATCGGGCCCAAATTTTGTGTGGGACCTCACGTGACCCCAGGGAAGGTTTATGAATGATCAAATCCGCAAACTTTTTTTGTTTTTGTTTTATACTGTACAACGAGAAGATGCTCAGAGATTAACCGACAATTAAAAGTTAAAATAGGAGATGGGCGGGAAGCGCCCTATAATCCCAGTTTTATAAATTCAAAGGACTTTTTAAAGATAAATTTTTTATGAATCGGAAAAATATTCTGAATTACCTTTTTCTGTCCAGTGTTTGTATAACCATGAACCTGTTTGAAGAGAAGAACTAGATAGGGAGCCTCAGTTAGATACGGTTTATTCCAATCCGTCTTAATATTGTATAGAAATTAAATATTAAACTGGAATACATATTTCAGATACGGTTTATTCCAATCCGTCTTAGTATTATATAGGAATTAAATATTAAACTGGAATACATATTTCAGATATGGTTTATTCCAATCCGTCTTAATCGAATTTAGGAATTATATTTTAAACTAGAATAAATATGTTATATATGATTTATTTCAATCAGTCTGAATAAAATTTGGGAATTTAGTTAAACAATTTAATGAAATATGTTAGATCTACAATCAAAAAAGAAAAACGAAAATTATCAATGGCCACCAACTCTAATGTTCTAATATTATTGCAACCTGATGGTGTAGCTCTTTCTATTTCAAACTATTAAATCTGCTAGATCAAGCATCCAAAATTTGAAATTTGACATAGGGTTTGTAAATATATAGGGATTAGATAAACATTAGAGTTTGAGACGAATAATCCATGAATTTATCAAAATATTTGTTACCTTTAAAAACTTAAGATCATTTGTCCATTTAATACCCATTCTTTGTGTATAGTTGATCATCTCTTCTCTTTCAACAATATCCTGGATACTAACCTATACAATATCTTGGATACTAACCTATACAATACCCTGGATACTAACCTATACAATATCCTGGATACTAACCTATACAATATCCTGGATACTAACCTATACAATATACTGGATACTAACCTATACAATATCCTGGATACAAACCTATACAATATCCTGTATACCAACCTATGCAACAGTACATGAATAATATTCTTATTATTTCTAAAACAAAAAGTATAATAGTACAATAATTAAATGATTAATGATCCATAATCTATTCTAATATTCCATGCTCCTAATCTATAATAATCAATTATCAAGGTATATTCAACGTATGTATCATCACTTTACCATACATGGTGTCCAAATAAACATGGATATTGAGGGTCGATTTTAACTGTCTTTGATTTCTTATAAAAAGTCAGATGAGCATTCTAAAATGTGGTCCACATTCTGCACATCTTGAAAATTTAAGAAGAATCTCATATATCTGTCAGTTTTGAAGGTTCGATAATATTTGTTTTAAGTGGATTACTACAATAAATGTAACAAATAAAACATTACAATACAGATCAAACACAGTTTAACATCATTATTTCCACGTTTAATGGGACACCCTGTAGAATTAATTAAAAAATTGATTAAAATTCTTACTTTAAGTTTAGGATCGGATACAACCACATAGGTCCAGGGTTCAGTATGGGCTCCGCTAGGAGCTGTCCCCGCAGTCCTTTTTACAGATAATTATTTTGATATATTTTGCTATCCAACCACAATAATAATAACATTAAGAATTTACTACTTAATCAAAAATGTCAATTATACAGTAGCAAATTAGAAGCAAAATCTCTTAAAAAAAAGAATTGAAAAATCAAAAACTAATAATTAGCATTTTTTTCAAAACATGATGATTTCAACGATCTACACAGTTTTGAAACTATTGAAATCAATTTGAACCAATAAAAATTAAAACCCACAAGGGATTCAATAATAAACCCGAGGGCGTAGACCTGCATACATAAGTTAAATTAAATTAGCGGGATTCAATAAATTGTTGCATACCGAAAATCTGCTTTTTATGAAGGAATGCTGGCATATTTTAGTTTTTTGTGTATGTCTAAGATGTTTAAGGAAATTGTTCTCCATGGCTCGGATCTTTGCAACTATGCAAGGAAACTTACTTAAAAGTTTGTCGAATTTGGCGTTGATTTCATAAAAAAAAAATATTTTTGATTTGAATTAAGAAGAATTTACAAACGTAAGCTAATCAGTAAATCAAGAAAATATAAATCTAATTTAAAGTACTCGTTGTTGAAAGATTTTAAATAATTTTTGTCAAGATACCTAATTATATTCTCAATAACTTGTCTAGGAACAGGTTTATCGCTAAATACCCGAATAGTTCGCCTCTTGTTCATTTCCTAAACATCATAAAATATATTTGTTTTATTTAGATGCCAAAAAGCTGGCAACAGAAGAAGAAAGTCGACCCCAGATCTGCGAAAATTATTTTTTTTAATTAATTGTAAATAATTTTTTACTATTCAACAATCAACATTCTAAAACGTCATGTTTTGTAAACCCACCATTAGTGAAAAAGAAAATACTTTTATTTTTAAAGAAATATTTTTTTCCTAGTTCTAAGCTTAAGGAGGATATTTTTCCTGACCGCCTTTTAATAAGATACATTATAGATAACTTTTTCTATTATCTATATAAAAATATATAAGGTTTATGAATGATCAAATCCGCAAACTTTTTTTGTTTTTGTTTTATACTGTACAACGAGAAGATGCTCAGAGATTAACCGACAATTAAAAGTTAAAATAGGAGATGGGCGGGAAGCGCCCTATAATCCCAGTTTTATAAATTCAAAGGACTTTTTAAAGATAAATTTTTTATGAATCGGAAAAATATTCTGAATTACCTTTTTCTGTCCAGTGTTTGTATAACCATGAACCTGTTTGAAGAGAAGAACTAGATAGGGAGCCTCAGTTAGATACGGTTTATTCCAATCCGTCTTAATATTGTATAGAAATTAAATATTAAACTGGAATACATATTTCAGATACGGTTTATTCCAATCCGTCTTAGTATTATATAGGAATTAAATATTAAACTGGAATACATATTTCAGATATGGTTTATTCCAATCCGTCTTAATCGAATTTAGGAATTATATTTTAAACTAGAATAAATATGTTATATATGATTTATTTCAATCAGTCTGAATAAAATTTGGGAATTTAGTTAAACAATTTAATGAAATATGTTAGATCTACAATCAAAAAAGAAAAACGAAAATTATCAATGGCCACCAACTCTAATGTTCTAATATTATTGCAACCTGATGGTGTAGCTCTTTCTATTTCAAACTATTAAATCTGCTAGATCAAGCATCCAAAATTTGAAATTTGACATAGGGTTTGTAAATATATAGGGATTAGATAAACATTAGAGTTTGAGACGAATAATCCATGAATTTATCAAAATATTTGTTACCTTTAAAAACTTAAGATCATTTGTCCATTTAATACCCATTCTTTGTGTATAGTTGATCATCTCTTCTCTTTCAACAATATCCTGGATACTAACCTATACAATATCTTGGATACTAACCTATACAATACCCTGGATACTAACCTATACAATATCCTGGATACTAACCTATACAATATAAACCTGAAAGAACTGTTGAGATCTAAGAATCATCTCCTCCTCTGTATACTGGGTAAACTCATAAGAAATAAAATCAACATCCTCTACAGCAGGACCAGCAGGATCTTCTAGTTCATCATCATCATCTACTTCTTCAACCTCATCATCAGCATCTTCATTCTGGGTTCTATTCCCAGCTTCTTTTTCTTTCTGCGCGAACTAAATAATGTTTTCACATGTAGATATTATAAGAATATATGTTTCATTAAGTAAATTGTATCTTGGACGCAATTTCAAAATAACCATCTATTGAAAGAGTGACATGTCAGATTTCTAACGATATCTTTTAAAATTCTTTCTTAGTAACAATTTGAAAGGAATTGAGTCTTGGCCAAAAACTCTGATTTTCTAATCCCTATCTTTCCAACCCCATGTCGTAGACTTTAAATATTAACTCTGTTAGATCAAATTGCAAAGATATAGGATTAGTAAATCTGAGTTTGTGGTGGAGACTCGATTCCTTTGAAATTGAAAGTCCCTTGAGATTCTTCTTTACAATTTCAAATGTGGGAATGTTCACAAAAAAATGGACTTCTTTAAATCAAAAAAGATGATCGATCATCATTCAATTTTTACGTTATTCGGGCGCTTTTTTGATTGTCCCCATGATTTGTATTGTTCATAGAAATGCATAAAAAATCATTTTTTTTACTGAATTTACTGTATCAAGTTTACAAAACACTTTATACGCGCGTTGTTCAGATTATTATTATTATTGATTTTAAATAAAATTTATCCAATTTTACCTTAGTTGTTTTTTTACTTCGTTCTTTATCTGACTGAAGCTCGGATTTATTGAAAAAAATTCTAGAAAAATAAAATTAAAAATCATAAACTTTTTTAAACAAGGGATATTTCATGAGGAGACATTGGGGGAGTATCCATAGATAAATAAATAAACATAGATAGATGTACGCAAAATCACCAAGAATTGTACAGTCCGCGAACTCATACTTCTAGGGGTCAAAGTGTACTTCAATGATAAGCGGGGTGGTTTGGTGTTTTAATTTAACTATTTATGAACACCAATATTTCACTGAGCAATACATCATATTGACGAGATCTGAATAAGGACATGAGAAGGACTAAACTAACTTAAATTTCTCTCTACAGAACTCATGTACACCACAAGTACTCAATGACATAAGAACAAACAGTGTTCACAACCGACCTAGTTAATCTATATAATAGGAATATCTTTAAATCGCTGTACATTTATATCTTTCAAGATGAAAAATGTCGTCTTATGCGCAATCTATCTTTTTCTATGGGAGTATCAGATAAATATTTGCACGAAGCGCAACTTGAAAGCTATGTAGAATGTAGAATGGAGGGGTAAAGCTCCCCCCCCCACCTCCCCTCTGTGTCCCTAGATCCCTTGAAACAACTAGATAGTAATAAATCTTCCAGTCTAGGATTAGAAATGGGCATCGTTTTTTTAATGAACGGTATTTTTATGAATGAACAAAATTTTTCGTGAAAAAAGGTGTCGTTCAGAAAAAAACGAACGATGGACGAACAAAATGGATCGTTTCAGAGAAATAAAAAATCATCGATTTTTTTTAAAACAAACGAAAAAACAAAGAATTAAAAATCGTTCGAACCAAACCTGAAAAAAACTATCATCTTTCTTTTTTATCGAACGATTTTTAAACAAATTAAAAAAACTATCCTTTTTAACTGAATGAACGATTTTATTAAATGAACGATTTTACCGAATTAACGATAATTTTGAGAACGAACGAAATAAAAATTTATTTGAACGATTGAAAAAAACGAACAAAATGACCAATGAACGTACGAAATGAAAATGTCGAACCCGCCCGTCTCTATTTAAGATTAGGCTTTTTGCATAGTTATATACAGCAGTAGAAATATTCACCATTTATTTTCAAAGATTTAGAAATGTCAAAATTTTGTCGATTCACCAAAACAATTAGTGTACGTAATTGTATTCATGCAAAAATGTGAATATTGTGAAAGTAAAAAAATTAAGTTCTAATAAAGAACAGTATTTTGCTCTTTTATATATTGCAAAAACATGTCTATAAATTATATTATAAATTAAAAACTGTTGTAAGAAACAGCGATCTCGATAACCACTGTGACAACTTTAAACGACAATTACTCGATATACTAAATTATTTAATATAATACACACAAGAAAACCGGATAAGATATTGCTGTGAAAAAGTATAATAGACAGTGGGAGAAGGTAAACTGTATAGTTTATGAAGAAACTCGTATTATCCGGATACATATATTATAAATTGAAAATATTTTTATTCTCAATACCTTCTAAATAAACGGATCAAATAACCTTTAAACACAAAAATAAGATTCCAAATTCACAAATATATACAACCGGGTGTCTCATATCATTTGAGAATTTTCCGGCAGAAAAAAACGAGGGTTTTCGAGTATTATGTGAATAATTCATCGTTAAAACTTAAAGATAATCCCATATGATGTGGGACGCTCTGTATAGTCATATATTCATATATCAGAAAAAATCCGCACATTAATATGGTACCTCAAGTAAACTAAGGGTAAAAGAAGAGGAAGGAATAGATAAAAATTGTCCACAATGAACGGGAAGATTATCTTTGTAAACACCATTACACAACTTGCTCTTAGCGCGACTAATTCACAACTGCAGGGGGATATACCCGATCAACAGATGGATTTCATGGGGCAAGGGGGGGGGCGGGGAGAGTCATGATGCATTTATCCTTATAATGGCTTGCCTATGGTGGGAGAAAAATCTAAATTCTATATAAACGCATCAAAAATTACTACGCATTTCAGCAAAAAATTGCGTAGCATGAAAAAAAAATAAAAAAAAAATAGGTCAGAGAGATGGATTTCTTTGCTCAAATTATTTCACACATGTTTCATAAGTTAGATAAGAAACAGTCTGAAGGCCTCCCCCTTCCATGACAAGTTCTATTCGTAAAATGTTATGAAAAGGGGGATTCATACAGAGGTTGCAGTATGCACTTGGTGCTTTCGCGAAGTAAACTGATGAAAATGAAACATTCAACCAAATGTGCAGAAACTGATTATAGCAATGTAAATTTTATGAATTTTACATAAATATGGATTCATATGACTCCAGAGCTGAAAACTTAAGAATGAAATATCCTTAATCTCGATCGGTTAAATAATCTGTGTATCCCATGTGATTTAGGAATGCCTGTAGCTTTAGATCTCATGTTGTTTGGGACTAACCGTAGTTCTATTTCTGAAGTTGTTTTGGAATATCTGTATCTTTGTATCTCATGCAGTTTTGAACTACAAGTATCTCCGTATCCCATGTAGTTGTCGAGATTAACCGTAATTGTATTTCTTTTGTTGTTATGTATTTGGGAATAACTGTATCTTTGTATCTTATTTAATTTGGGACCAATTGTATCTCAATATCTCATTTTGTTTCTGACTAAAAGTATCTCTTTATCTCTTAATGTTTTGGACAGACAATATCTCTATATCTTATATTGTTTTGGACTTACAGTATCTCTTTATCTCTTAATGCTTGAGACTAACAGTATCTCAATATCTCATGTTGTTTGGGACGAACAGTATCTCAATATATCATGCTGTTTTGGACTAAGAATATCTGAATATCTCATGTTGTTTGGGATTACCTGTATCTTTATAACTCTTTTTGTTTGGGTCTACCTGTTTCTTTATAACTCATGTTGTTTGGGACTACCTGTATATTTATAACTCATGTTGTTTGGGTCTACCTGTGTTTATAACTCATGTTGTTTGGGACTACTTGTATCTTTATAACTCATGTTGTTTGGGTCTACCTGTATCTTTATAACTCATGTTATTTGGGACTACCTGTATCTTTATAACTCATGTTGTTTGGGTCTACCTGTATTGTATCTTTATATCTCATGTTGTTTGGGACTACCTGTATCTTTATAACTCATGTGGTTTGGGTCTACCTGTATATTTTTAACTCATGTTGTTTGTGTCTGTCTGTATCTTTATAACTCATGTTGTTTGGGTCTACCTGTATCTTTATATCTCATGTTGTTTGGGACTACCTGTATCTTTATAACTCATGTTGTTTGTGTCTATCTGTATGTAAACTAAAGTTTGGCAGTTTGCCAGGATGAAAACTGTATGTTTAAGATACCAGTTGTTTAATAGAAAAGAATAAGAAAGGTAGTCTGCTGAACTTACCCAACCAAATAGTGCAAAAACAACTATGTAAAGTCTTGCTTGGAGATGTCCCTCTACCCTGGAACCCTGGAAAATGTTTTGTATATTTGGATCATGATAGTTCAAAATTTACGAAATCTTTAGCTACGTTTCTAATTAAGAGATTGAACGATGACCGGGACGTATTTAGGAGGGGGGGGGGGGACCCAGGTCACCCCCCTGACCCAAACCCTTATATAATAAACTTCCATATACACATATTCGTTTTCTTAACAATTGACAATTTGTCCATTTTATTATATTTTATCAGAGCTGAAAACTTTAGAATGTGATATCCTTAATCCCGATCTGTAAATTAATCTGGAGATTAAATTCATGAGTAGAACAAGCAATATTTAATCTGGAGATTAAGAAAAAGAGTGGATCAAGCATTAATCCCGATATCCACCATTCTAAAGTTTCCAGCTCAGATTATTTAAATTATTTAAAAAAAGTTCACCTCCTTATAGGCTAAACCTCCAATACGCCCCTGACGATTACGACGTTAATATCTCTGTAAATATTTCCAAACCTTTGGACAAATACATATAATAGTAAATTGATGTTATCGTTATGTCAAAAAAAATATACTTTATTCATTTCTTGAATGTTATTGAATTTAGTTTCTAGAGAATCTACACAAGTTCAGTTCATTGTAACGTTCTTGCATTTCCACACTTGAAAAGTATTGCATTTTCTAACTTTGAAAAGAAAAATGGAAAATCTTCCATATCTTCCAAGAAGAAGGATATTCTATCATCTCTCAAGGTTTGTTTGATAAAAAATATAACAAAAATACTTTTTTACCTTTGTAAGCTATTTTTGTGCTTTCAAAATTTCAAAGAATTAAGTTTTTAAAGAATATTTGTAAACACCCTTTCTACTATATTACAGAAACTTTGAATACTGATTGAATGTGTAAAAAAAGTTTTTGTTATGGTTTTAATTTTTTCTTTTTGAAGTAAAGATCTTGAGGCCTTAGCACAAGTTTGTTGGTTCGATGATGTGACAGGTAAACATACGGTCATAGGGTAGATTTTGCGGTCATAGGAATAATAGATATTTCGGGCATTCGATTTTCCTTTCAGTTATGGATGTTATTGTGGGGAACTCGGGAGAACCACTGAAATGGTCTTAGCTTAGTTTTGAGATCCTAACTTGAGTGGGTCGACTTTAATAGCGAAAATGTTGTTTCCCGGTAAAATCTTTTAAGTGCGGGTAAACGGCGGGAGTAACTTTTAGTAACCTGGGCAGCGCTGAGTTCCTAAGCTAGTATATTCTATATATATAAATATACATATTCTATATATATAAATATATTTTAGTTTTTAAACTTCACATTTAAATAAAAAAGAATTATACTAAACACAATGTTTCACGTCTTATGACGATCCTCAGTAGTCAAAATTCTTTAATGGGGGGGGGGATTCTTACAGTAAATTTTTCTTATTTATTTTAGATAATCTGAACAAGAGAAGAAAAGGCGATAATAACGAACCAGTTAAATTTATTCAAACCTTCATCAAGGTAATAAAAAAATGTTTTGTTTTGAAATGCAAGATTTTTTATCCCAAGCTTTTTTCCAAGGAAGGAGATAGTTTTGACGGAAAGCTTGAAACCTTTTTGACTGAGATTTCGTGGTTCATTCCTTCTCTAGCTCTAATTTATGTGCCCAGGTGATACCATTAAATATGACCCGCAGGTCGTCTTCTTTACACCCTGTATTCATTGATTTATTAATTTCCAATCCACCTCAATACTATACAGCTGGATCACTGTGAGTGTGAACTGGGAAAAAGTACAAATTTATGCGACATAGCTGTTATGACTTTGTTACTTTGTAGCCCATCTAGTTTTCATTTTACGTATAAGAAAAGCAAACTTATCTGGTTACATCGTTTTCTTGGATATTTCTGCAAAGTAAACAAAATAAAGAACAAGATTGGTCTGAGAATTGTTCAAAATAAACCTTAATATTACTTTCTTGGAAGAGTGGTGTGTGCCTGCAAACTAATGCTAAGTAAAGATGTCGTCTTCTTTAGGAAAATGCTAGAAAAAGTATAGATTTAGACTAGCTAGAAATGTTTTGAATTTATGATAAAATAAAACTATTTTTCTTGGTAATGAAACCTAAGATTCTCTGATGTAACATTTTTCAAAATGATAAGAAAAATTATCTTTTTATTTGTTTAACAATCCAAAAACATTCCAATTTTTTTCGTTAGCCTAGCTCTAAAATTTTCTTTTGTTTTCCTTTCCACCCAAGTTTACTTCAATTACCATTTTCTACTCCCTATATCTTTGCAACCTTAAACCTTCGTTATTTTAAACTTAGATTATTTCATCTAACAGAATTCATAGTTTGAAATATCTAAAGTTTTTTATTTCAGGTTGCAAAGATATTGGGAATCGTTAATTTGAGTTTGTGGCAAAGTCTCAGTTGCTTTGAGTTTTTTTCTTCGACGAATGATTTAATATAACATTGAAATTTTTTAAATTAAATTCAACCTTTAGATTTCCCCATCGAAAGGGTTTTAGGCTGTCAAACTCTCAAACTTTGTAGGTATCCTTTAACAGTTCATAGTAGTTAAACACAACTTAATACGCTGATTCTTACCAATATTTCAAACTATTAATTCTGGTAGATCAAATAGTCTAAGTTTGAAATATCAAAGGTTTACACTATCAGGTTGCAAAGATATTGGGGTTAGAAAATTTATGTTTGTTGCAAAAACTCAATTCCTTTATGTGACATCACTGTTATGACTTCGAATAGCCCATCTAGTTTTCATTTTACGTATAACAAGAGCAAACTTATCTGGTTACATCGTTTTCTTGGATATTTAAACACACGCTGATTCTTACCAAGCCGGTAAAAGTATATCAAGTGCAGACTTTAAATAAACTTCGATTCACAATTATGTTTATTTTCATGTTTCATGTGTGGTTTCTCTGCAAAAGTAACCAGCATATTTCTTGATTCAGGAACAATGGAGTAATTATCAGAATGAAATACTTTTTAAACCAGAAAAAAAGACATTATTTTCCAGATTATTGATAAGATTTGGATTCAGATGTGAATATATCCCATTTAATGATTCAAATATACCCTAGAGAGATAGATCGGAGCAGGAGGGTTTGGATTGAGAATATATTTCCTTCTTCTGTCTCAGGCATTAAACTACAGTTTAGAATATTTACAGGTAAACTTACTATGGCCGGCGTGTAAATAATACAATGATGACGACATTTTTAACGTTAATTTCGATCCTGATTACAAACTTAATAAAAATTAAAAATGTCCAACGATTAAGATACACATATATAAACTATGCGAGATTTTAAAAACTTTGTGAAAATTAGAATGACAAAAGTAAATTTCATATCATAGTTTTAAATTACCATCAAACTCCATGAATTTGTAGTTTTATTGTGAATTGCGACTTACATTACATTAATGTTGTCCAAATATATAAAGCTGGTTAATTTTGCATTTTTGGTGTAGCAGAGCGGACAAATTTAGAATTGTGGATATCGAGATCAATGCTTGATCTTCTCTTTTTGTTAATTTCAAAATTAAATTTATTTCAAGTTTGTATCAACATAGTGTAATTAACTCAACCAATCGAGTGGCGTTTAGAGAAACCGTTAAGCTAATCAGAGAAGCCGGGAAATTTGAAATTTTACGCGCCATTCAATGAGGGAACTATCATTGGTCGAAAAATGGCAGGTAGAGAAAAAGATCGGATTAAGTAGGAAATTAAAAGGGTCCACATTTGATATTCAGATTAAGCAATCGGAAGATATCTAATTTCAAAGTTCTTAGCTCAGGCCAATTTTTTCTAGTCAATATTACGTTTAATTGGTCCCTTACGTCCAGTGTTACATACATTAACAAAGTTTAGAAAAATGTCTATATTATTATTTTAAAGCTCTTTCTTAATGTACACAAATCTAAGAGAATATTGTCCTCTATATCATTGTTGTTCATTTATTTCTTTTCTAGATTTTGAATTAGGCGCTGGAGATAAGGATTTAACCATGCAAGCTCTCTTAGTTTTCGACAACAATATTTTCAGGAAATATCAAATTTTAAGAAAAAGCCATGCATTCTTAAAACTTACACAATTACTTTAAAAAAAATTTTAATCAAAAAAATTTGAATAATTTTTCTCAGAACTTCCCTAATTCTATTGAGAGAATTTGAAGATGGGTCAACCAGGAACTGAAAACTATTCTTTAAAAATACATACCGGATCATCTTATCATCCGGTGACTACCTGGAACTCTTTTTAACTACCTGGAACTCTTTAACAACTACCTAGAACTCTTTAAAAATTACCTGTAACTCTTTAACTACCACCTGTTACTGTTTAATTATTACCTGGAACTCTTTAATTACTACCTGGAACTCTTTGATAATTACCTGGAACTCTTTGATAACTACCTGTAACTCTTTAACAACTATTTGGAACTCTTTAATTAAAACTACTTTTAAATCTTTCACAACTACCTGGAACTTTTAAGTAACTACCTGAAACTCTTTAATGAATACCAGGAACACTTAAATAACTACCTGGAACTTTTTAATGATTACCACGGACTTTTTAATAACTTCCTGCAACTTTTAGTGTTTTCCTGGAACTCTTTAATAACCGCCTGGAATTCTTCATAAATAACTACCTGAAACAATTTAATGAATACCCCGAACTCTTTATTGATTACCTGGAACTCTTTAATAACACCTGGAATTCTATATAATCACTGTAATTATAATTCTGTAATTCTTCAGATAATTGAGTTTTTGACACAAACTCAGATCTTTTTAAATCCCAATCTCTTTCCAACCCAATGTCAAAGACCTTAGATATTTCAATTTCTGTTAAATCAAATAATTTAAGTTTACACTATCAGGTTGAAAAGACAAAGGGAGTAGAAATCTGTTTAATTCATTAGTTTTGCACTTACTTGTGTGCTAGTTACCAATTTGAACCAACATTGCAAATTTGTATTTCTCGTTCAATTAACGTTTTGAAAGTTAAGATTTCTAAGGTTTTCAATTTAGTTTAAATAGTTAGTTGATTTTAGCAATATATAAAGGTTAGTATATCTAGAAAGTACCCTGATATTTATATGTCAAAGACCCAATTTACCGAAAAAAAGAAGAAATCATAAGAATTGTGCAGGTGTTTACCTTTCAAGGAAAATAATCCCAATTGAAAACATTTAAAGTAGTTTTGGTTAAGTCAGTTTCTTCTGCATACGAATGGAAACCTTGAAGATGTTTTAGAAACCAAACCATTAGAAGAATCCACCAACTTAAGGGACAAAACTTTTTTTAAAGGGACGGTTTTAAGTGACCCTTTCTTTATAGAGTATATAGTACCCTTTAAACCTTTCTCCGAATAATGGTCAGAAAAATATCGTCATTTTGCTATCTGCAAAAGTATTGAATTCTGATAGTTTTCTTTTTTCTCTCATACTGAATAAATCCGAAAATTACTTTTAGTTAGAACCGCAATTGAAGACTACAAAGGAACTTATTTTTTGTCACAAACGCTGATTTTTTAATCACTAAATATCTTTGCAACCCAATGTCATAGACCTTTCATATTTCAAACTATGAATTCTGTAAGATCAAATAATCTAAATTTGAAATATCAAAGGTTTGCATCATCAGGTTGCAAAAATATTGGAAAATTTGAGTTTGTGACAAAGACTCAATTCTCTTAGTGTGCACCACCCCTTTCTTCTGAGTGATGAAAATGAATTTTTCTTATATGTGTACTGTGTAGTGCTAATGGAATTTCAAGTCAATTTTACTTTCTGATTCAGAATTTTCTTGAGCGATTATTTGAGAAAAAAAAAACATTGTGCGCTCATTATTTAGACCTTTCGGGGGCATTGCATGAAACGTTCCATGTCAAAACTTGACTAAGATATTCTATGAAATTTTTAAATTTTATAATTTTGAAAAGATTATTCTGTCCAGTTCCTTTGCCTGTTTTGTTAAAGTTCCCAAGGAGATGGTAGACAGAACAACTAGGGAAACTTCATTATTTTCTTTTGTATTAAATTTAAAAAAGAAGAAGAATTATTTTGTAAAATGAGCAAATGTTTTTCAAAGAACTTTTCCAAATGAAATGAACATGGAATACACTACTCAAGCTCTAATGGTGTAACTCTTATAATTTTACAACCTGATCTTTGATAATACCAACTATAATAATTCAAAACTCCCTGTCAATAAATACCTAATGTTTTTTAACATTTGGCTCGTTTTTGGAAATTATTTTCTCCCTGGTTTTGTGGAAGCAGAAAAGCAAATGTTTAGAAATGAAAAATTGAGAAAGGAATTGAGCCTTTGCTACAAACTCTGAATTTCTAATTTCTACATCTTTGCAACCCAATGTTGTAAATATTTTAAACTAAGAACTCTTTTACATCAAATTATCTTAGATAGAAAATCAAAGGTACACACTATCAGGTTACAAAGATATACAAAGATGAGAAAATTTGTGCTTGTGTCAAAGACTCATGAATTCCTTTTTTAGATTTGTGTCGAACATTGTAAAAGACCAAAAACACTTGCAATCTGATTTCTTAGGTCTTTGATTATTCAAATTAATATAAATATCAAATTATAAGGATTAGCAAATTAGAGTTTGAGGCAAGTAAAAATTCCAGCTTTTGTTGAAGAATTTCTAATGTATGAAGGATGGGTAGTATAACTATTTCTGGAGTTAATTTTGTAACATATTCTCATATATCTCCGAGCCTATACAGATCCAAACAGAGGTTTCATGGACTCAAGAGAATCAGGGAACACAAAAACAAAACAAACCCACATTTCAAATTTTTATCCATTATCAAAACTTTCAATTTGAAAAAAAATTCAATCTTAACCTCAAAAGATTATACTTTGCGCATACAAAGGAACTGAGTCGAAATGGAGTCTTTGCCACAAACTCTCATTTTCTATTCCCTATATCTCTGCATTCCAATGTCGTAGACCTTAGATATTTCAAACTATGAATTATGCTGCATCAAATCTAAATTTGAAATATCACAGGTTTACATTATCAAAGGTTGTTAAGATATAGGGAAAAGAAAATTTGATTTTAAATTCTGTGATTTGATGGACCAAACCTCTGTAGAGTAAAAAGAGTTGTTAGTTCCACATTTCATGAAAATATATTTCGGTCTGGGTTGACCCTCGTCAGTTCTAACGATATAATAACCATCAAAATTGATCTAATTAACGAACTTTTACGAAAATCGGTGGGAGGGGGGAGGGCGAGCGGCTTGATTAAGGAGGGGTATTTATAACCTTTTTAAGAATTGGACATAAACAATACTCTTTTTATAAAAAATTTGAGTTTGTGGCGAAGACTCAATTCCTTTTTATAAGTATGTTTTGACATCTGTGATGTACAGGAAAGAATTCATAAATGGTTTTATTATGAAAAGCCTGGGAAATTATAGTTTAAATCTGGAAATCAAGGTAAGATAATATATCTACGTACAGATTATAGTTTAAATCTGGAAATCAAGGTAAGATAATACATCCACAAAAGACTATATTCAATGACGAGATGAAGACTGATTCAATGCGTTTATTACACTAATACCAATTGACGTTAAAAGAATAAAGGTTTGCAGCATTTTAGAAATAAGATTTGAATAAAGAAATTGAGTCTTTGTCACGAACTCAAATCCCTTTATCTTTGGAATATGATGTAAACCTTTAATATATTACAAACTTAGGTTATTTGATCTAACAGAAACCATAGTTTGAAATATGCACGGTCTACGGCACGGGATTGCAAAGATAAAGGGATTAAAAAATCAGAGTTTGTGGTAAAGACTTAATTCTTTTTTATGAAGTTTAGAGGCTACGCTAACCCTGTATATCTCACTTTTATAAATTACTAAAAGCTAAAAAAACAAACAATTTTGTTTAGCATTAAAAATAAGATAAAACTAACAATGAGATGCATTCCATGGGTTCTGGTAACATTTTTTTCTACCATGGGATCGGCAAAGAATATTTATATAGAAAAATGGTAAAAACGTTTTTAAAATGCGCAATTATTTGTGACATTTATTGATTTATTATTCATGAGAATATTGCAAGCATATATTAATAACAGATAGAGCCCTGAGGCAGAAGCCAAAAGGAGTTACGCGCATACTGCGTTGAATTACAAGGCAGAGAGTTCTACGCTGCATGCGCGTAACTCCTGTGGAAGCGCTGCCTCAGAATTATTGTGAACGAAAAACTCCTAAATCTTGAAAAGACTACTTCTAATGTTCTATCTGTGTTGTTATTAATATATGATTGCAATATTCTTAAAATACGAATATTATTCTCATTGTGCTTTACATTTAAGGAATTGAGCACACTGCATTTACCACAAACAGCGAAAAAATGGAGCCAGGTAATTTAATTTTTTTTATTTATCCAAAGCTTGGAGCAATTTTTAGACATCTTAATTGCATTCTAATGCACGCCGTTAGAAATTTTAAAATTCGATTATTGAAACTTTATTCGTGAAATATTTCACTAAATATGCTCTTACGTCAGGAGAGTTCGTTTTAAGTTGTTTTTTTTTCGTCCATTTTTTTACAATAATTCAGACCTGAAGTTTATTTCAGAAAACCTGTTTGGTAATTCCGCAGAAAGTTGAAGATGATTACCTTGAGATACCTCAGCATTTGCTACCGACAATTTTTAGGAAGTTTTTAATGATTTTTAAATAAATTGAAATGTTCAAATATAGAAAAAAAAACCCTAAAGATATCATAATCAGAATAAAAAAACGGCAAGATTTCCCCCCCCCTTGTACTCCCCTCTCCCTCCCAACTCCCTACCCTCATCTTTGCGAAATGATCCCAAGTTGGGATAAGTCATTGGGATAAGTTTTTGTTGGTATAACTGGGCATATTTCCTTCTCTCCCCCCCTCCCACCCCAAACTCCCCTCTCCCTCTCCTTGTCTCTTTTCAGTTTCCAAACCAAACCCTAGTAAAAGGTATGTGCTCCTTTAATCAGTGTTTAAGCCAGTTTAAACCAGCTCAAACTGGTTTAAAACAGTCTAAACCTGTTTAAACCATCTCAAACTAGTTTCACACAGTTTAAACCTGTTTAAACCAGTTTAAAACCTGTTTAAACCAGTTTAAAACCAGTTAAAACCTGTTTAAACCAGTTTAAACCAGCTTAAACCAATCTAAACCTGTTTAAAACAGTTTAAACCAGCTTAAACCAATCTAAACCAGTTTAAACCAGTTTAAATCTTTTTGTTGGTTTTCATTAAAACTGGTTTTAGAGGATTCTTAGGATGGAGCCAGCGACTAACAGTAAACACACTGAACTATCCCAACAGGTACAATTTAAAAAAGTTTTCCAATATTTTTTCTAAATGGTTAGTCTGATATATAAGCCATATCCTATAATACAATGTGGGGTGATTGAAACACGTTTCTACTTAAGTTTCATGGTTTGTGTAGTTATTCGAGAAAAATAAGATTAAAAGATAGAACTCCATTTTAGAGCTGAATAAAAGAGTTAAATAAAAGAAAAAGTTAAAAATATTGTAAATAGAAAGGGAAAAAATATCAGAAATAAGATAATATACAATAATTTTAGGAAGATAAATCGAAGAACCGAAGTACTGGTTGTATCTCCTGTATTCCCTAAGTCAACGGATCCTAATTTCTGATTTGTTCCATTTTCAGGATTCCATAATAATGATAATTTGTATATTTTATCCAATAAACGTCAAAACAATATTTTTGAAATGTTTAAAATACACCTAAGTAAACATAAAAATTAGCAAAATTTTTGTTGTTTTTATTTCAAAATGTACTAAAGGTCTGAAGTATAGAAGAGCAACAAAGAATGAATTACCAGAAAAATTGGAAGGAAGAGTTATGTAAACTTACAGGATGTCCCACAAAATAAGACTTTAAGGTCGTCTTTTATCTTCGAAATAATTTACGTCATTTATTCGTAACCCAAATTTTAGAAGTATCCCTAGTGTTGGCATTTCCAAATGTGGTCTGTCTTTTTTGTGCTCACAATATAACCGGAGATATGTTTAGTTTTGTTCAGATTTCAAAAATTTTGGTTTTCAACAAAATTAAAATCTGAACGAAATTCTCAATAACTTTGGTAATATTGTCAGCACAATAAAAGACTTTTTGGAAATCTCAGAATTGGACAAATTTTGTGGTTATTATTTTAAAAATCGTACATTTGAAAGAAGGTCTCAAAGAAATCCAAAGATCAAAGACGACTTTCAAATCGTCTTGCTACTGTCATGTTTCTTAGGACACTCTGTAGTAAATAAATGATGATAATGATAATTGCCAAATTCATAATTTCAGAAGATACATAATGATTTCAAAAGATGTTGATATGGTGATTCGGTGAAACAATAAATTTAAAAAAGGATTTTTTTGTTTAAATCTTGTTTCAAGAAAACATTATGAATTCTGGTAGAGCAAGATAAAAGTTATTAGCCTTATCCCGCTTTTTGGTTGATATTTAAAGGGAGTGTTCATGAAAAATGAATCATAACTAAGTTATTAATTAATCTGCAAAGATGTTAACACCTCATTTAAAATGGGACCAGAGATGGAAACTATTGTGTTAAATACCTATTGTCCCGATCGCTTGATCTCGATATCCACTTTGGGCACTTTTAACTTGAGTATTGATGCTTTATCTCTTCATTTCAGATTCCTGTGGGGTACAATTACCACGGGATCTGCACAAGATAGAGATATCAATGCTAGATCTCGATATCTGTCCTCTGAGCTCTAGCTCACCCTCAACTATACCAGGGCGATATGTTTCTGTTCGATTTCTTGATATTTGAATTCATTCGCGTTTTAGTTCAACAATCTTTCAACTTAGGAACATGTTATATTAGACTTTTTTACATAAAAGTAAACTATATTTCGTTTTCAACATAAAAATTTCGGACATTTTTTTCCTTTTTTAGCTTTGTTTTATGGAAAAACTCGTTATATCATGGATCAAATGGTTTTAACAATTTCTCAATACGTTTTCACGGTTTTGTTTTGAAAACAAACAGCTCATTTGTATGATTTGGTTGCTATGTTGTCACTAGATCCACGTGATTTTTAAAATCCAGGGAGCTAAAATGTTGCGGATCTCATGGTAAGACATTTCATAGATAGGACATTTCATAATTCTTATTAACCCTAACCTTTCCTTTAAAAATTCTTCTCTGTTAATGAAATTATCTATGATGATATGTCCCAACACCGTTACAAAACTAGGTTTAAATCAAGTGTAAAATCAAGAAATTGATCTTTGAATATTCGAAACTCTTAAAAGATCTTAAAATCATAGTAAAACAACTTTTTTTTTATTTTTTGTATATTTTCATAATTATTGTAAATACCGACCAGAGATTAACATTTTTATCATAATTATCTATAGTTTAGAAAAGGTGTTCTTTCTTTTATATTGTTATTAAATGATTATCACAAAAGTTAAAACTAAAACATGTTCCTTCATCAAAATATTTTATACAGGGTGTCTCAATAAACATGACATTTGAAGGACGACACGAAGGTCGTCTTCAATCCATGGTAGCTGTTAAATGACAACATTTGTATTAAAGCTTTTAATAAAGTGCGATTTTTTTTCGATAAACGACGACCTTTTAGTCGTCCCTAAACCGTCATATTTTATGGGACACCCTGTATCTTAGAATCCGAGATTTAGAGATAAAGAAGACTGTGTCTCTCCCATTCGTCTTTATACCATTCAGAAGCTTTCTCCATATCCAGGTTATAGTGGATAGTTAGCTCATCACCAGCTTGAACAGGTTTAAGGGTCCTGTACAGTGTACATAATAAATATTATGTACAGGTTTAAGGTTCCTGTACAGTGTACATAATAAATAGTATGTACAGGTTCAACGGTCCTGTACAGTGTACATAGTAAATATTAAAAACAGGTTTAAAGGTCCTGTACAGTGTACATAGTAAATATTACAGACAGGTTCAAGGGTCCTGTACAGTGTATATAGTAGATAGTAAATACAGGTTCAAGGGTCCTGTACAGTGTACATAGTAGATATTATATACAGGTTCAAGGGTCCTATACAGTGTAAATAGTAGATATTATATACAGGTTCAAGGGTCCTATACAGTGTACATAGTAAATATTATATACAGGTTCAAGGTTTCTGTACAGTGTACATAGTAGATATTATGTACAAGTTCAATTGTCCTGTACAGTGTACAGTGTGCATAGCACTTATTATGTACAGGTTCAAGGGTCCTGTACAGCGTACATAGAAGATATTATGTACAAGTTCAAGTGTCATGAACAGTGTACACAGTAGATATTATGTACAGGTTCAAGGGTCCTGTACAGTGTAGATAGTAGATATTACATACAGGTTCAAGGGTCCTGTACAGTGTACATAATAGATATTATATACAGGTTCAAGGTTTCTGTACAGTGTACATAGTAGATATTATATACAGGTTCAAGGTTCCTGTACAGTGTACATAGTAGATATTACATACAGGTTCAAGGTTCCTGTACAGTGTACATTGTAGATAATATGTAAAGGTTCCAGGGTCTTGTATAGTATAAATAGTAGTAATTATGTACAGATTTAAGGGTCCTGTACAGTGTACATAGTAGTTATTATGTACAGGTTTAAGGGTCCTGTACAGTGTACTGTGGTAATTATGTACATTTGCAAGGGTCCTGTACAGTGTACATAGCAAATATCAAATACAGGTTCAAGATTCCTGTAAAGTATTCATATTTGTAATTATGTACAGGTTCAAGGTTCCTTGACAGTGTACTCAATAGATATTATATACAGGTTCAAGGTTCCTGTATAGTGTACATAGTAGATTTTATGTACAGGTTCAAGCGTCCTGTACAGTGTAAATAGTAGTAATTATGCACAGGTTCAAGGGTCCTGTACTGTCTACATAGCAGTAATTATGTACAGATTTTAGGGTCCTGTACAGTGTACATAGTAGTTATTATGTACAGGTTTAAGGGTCCTGTACAGTGTACAGTAGTAATTATGTACAGATTAAAGGGTCCTGTACTGTGTTCATATTAGTAATTATGTACATGTGTAAGGATCCTGTACAGTACGTGTACATAGTAGATATTATTTATATGTGCAAGGATTTACATTGTACAGTGTTCTAATTAGTAATTATGTACAGATTTAAGGGTCCTGTACAGTGTACATAGTAGATATTATTTACATGTTCAAGGGTACTGTACAGTGTACATATTAGTAATAATGTTTAGGTTCAAGGGTTCTGTACAGTGTACATAGTAGTTATCATGTACAGGTTCAAAGGTGCTGTACACTGTGTTCTGTACACTGTACAGTGTACATTGTAGTAATCATATAATTTCTTAGAACTTCATTAAGACGTTTTAAAGATATCGACAACTTAAAAAACTTTTTATATTTTAAAATTTTTCTGGTCTTTTTTTGTTAAAAATTTACAAAATATACGCAAACAAATACAGTTGATTTACCTGACAGCTGGTACAAGTCCATGTACAGGATGTTCTGCATTATCCCATGCACAGTTTGGATTAAAACTATGGTTTAGTTTGTGTGCTAATGAGGCGGTGTAGGTTTTACAGCTCTGATACTAATATATTAATATTATTTTTCAACTCTTCAACTTATTGGGATTTCTTTGCAAAAAATAAGATTTAAAGAATCTACATTGAGAACCATAAAACACTGCAAAAGGAAGACGGCATTAAAGTAATATTTTAGTGGTTTTGATGCAGTTACAAAGCAAATAGTTTGACTAATAACTTATATTTTCACTTATTTAGTGAAATGGGTCTGTTGACGTGCACATCGTTATGTCTCACATTCGTTAGACCATTTAAAACATAATTTGTGCCTAAAAGTCGTCTTTCTACTTCAGAGTTTTTTGGTTCTCACTGTTCTTTTTGCAAAAAAAAAACCGAGTTTTTCTGCAAGAACAAATTTATCCCTACAAAAAACGATTTTTGTTCTATTTTATCTATTTATCATTTAATGTTTTCCATATTAACAAAAAAAAAAAAAATTCCGCTGCATTGTACCTTAGTTGGTATATCTAGATGTTTCGCATCTTTATCCTTCCTTAGATTAGATTCAAGGTATATTGCATATCCGGTCTCATCCAGTTCCCCATCAATACTTTCACCAACACAGAGCCTTAGTCCGTTATAGTAGCTCACTATAGTTCCAGCATCAATATCAACTATATAGATAGATGGTTTAGCCCGTTATAACGTAGCTCACTGTAGTTCCAGCATCAATATCAACTAGATAGATAGATAGTTTAGTCCGTTATAGTAGCTCACTATAGTTCCAGCATCAAAATCAACTAGATAGATAGATAGTTTAGTCTGTTATAGTAGCTCACTATAGTTCCAGCATCAATATTAACTAGATAGATAGATATTTTATCACTATCTCTTAGATAGATTGCATGATTAAAAACTTTTATAGTGAATTTCAGTGAATAAACACGAAACTATTTACCTTTGGCAAAGAGTCCTTCCCCTGCCCCTTCCATCCCTGATGCCTTGACCGTAACAACCTTGGATTCGTATGGGTCAACTAGGTGATATGGACAGCTAAAATCCTTCAGGAAAACCAGTTTATTAAATTAAAAATTACACTCTGAGTTTCTACTAAAATATGGCCAGTGCACCCTCTAACGCGAAAATCTTACAGGATTTTGCCAGACATTAGACAGTTCTTTAAAACTAAAAATATATATAACAGAAATAATCTTAAACTGTATCTTTTAACAGTCAACCCTAAAACATGTTTATTGTAGGTTGGCATGTTCAAGTCTAAGTTATTGATAGCTAATTTTAAATACAATGTACTGTGAGTACACATACACAATCTTTGATCAAAGAATTAAAAAAATGCTTATGCTTTTATTGTACTATAAACTGATTCCTTGTTTGTGGATATCCATCTTTTGTAAATCCTGAAAAAGGGATTTAGATTCAATATAAAAAAATTAATTTTATAAAAGAAAAGAAAATTATCATATTCTTAAAACGATTTTTTTATTTTCAGAGAATTTGAAAGGTTTTTTTACTTTACAACGACAATTTTATCCTTTAATGTGCACAGATTCAAAACATGTTTTTGTTTCTTTAACTCAAATTTTCATGGAAGAAGATAATAAAAGATGACTATATCCTAACTTGTCAGAAATATTCGGCTTTAAACGATTTATTTTCATTTGTAACTTCTCTGCATGAGTAATTTTTGCATTTTTATGCTTTTAAGAAAAAATGGAAAATTATCAGAGTTAAGCATTTTTGGAATCAGGAAAACGACGGTATTTTCCACATTTTTGATCAGATCAAGATTTCAAGAGTACAGTCGTAAATCTGGCATTACCATCACTTGAAATCACGCTTATACAGTCGCTTTCAGACTTTTAGAAGAGTGGGACTGTAAAATATGAGAACCGACTTTCAGACTTAGAAGAGTGGGACTGTAATATATGAGAACCGACTTTCAGATTTAAATCATGAGTTTGAATGGTCCAATGAGTATAAAAATTGTAATTGTTTAGGGGATTTTCAACGCCAACAAAAGAAATATGCTAAAATGTGGTTTTTCTATTCCACAGTTTTATGGGTCCCGCTGTACCTAAATAAAATAATAAAATATTCTTACTTATCTGATGTTGACTCAAAGGATGGAACCAAGACATCATTGATGTATTTGAAACCGTTTATTTCAGCAGGATGCGCAGATACTAGTTCACCTGGGCCCGAAATTCAAAATAGTATCTTAACATTTGTGTAGATTTTATTTATAAGATTTGAAAAAAATTGAGAATATAAACAAACTAAATAAAATAATAGTCCATAATAAAAATATTGCTAAACACAAAACTGCCTAACCCCATTTCTGAAACCTTGGTTCCAAAACTGGTTTTCATAACGATACCCTGTCTTAAGTTTTGGGTTCAGAGCCGAAATTTAAAAGAGTATCGTTGAACGAAACTCCAGAGTTTCTTTTTTGGGGTCATAACATTTGTGTAGATTTTGATTTAAGAAATTTTAAAAGAGTGAAGAATATGAAGAAACTAAAGTTAAATAATGTTTCATAAAAAAGTATTGATATCCACAAAATTACCTAACCCCATTCGGGAAACCCGGGTTTCAAAACTGGTTTTCATAACGATTCCCTGCCTTAAGTTTTGGACACTGTATACAGTGTAGTACAGTAGGAAAAAACGGACTTGCAATTGCTCAGATCATTGAACACAATTGCTTTAACAAACTTTAGGAATTACAAATTGCTATCTTGGCTTTGTTTTTAACCTTCAGGAAGATATTTTGTTTTTGGAGTAGTACCGATACAATTCATTTATTGAAAAATATTATTTAATTTTTTTTCTTCTCACCTTGGATAAATTCTCCCAGCAGAGCAGTTTTGAGATCGGGGAAGAGATAAGCAATATCAGTTCCTTTAAAATAAAATAATAAAATTATGCTTTTATCTCCTAAATCCGTGTTCTTTATTATTAAGCTTTTTTTATGTACTATCCACTTGACCTCCAGCTATCTTCTAACTGACCTGCACTTTCCAGTTGACCTCCCGCTACCTGTAAATTTTCCTGTACTCTCCAATTGACCTCCAGCTACCGGTAAATTGTACTGTACTATCCGGTTGACCTCCAGCTACCGGTAAACTGTACTGTACTATCCGGTTGACCTCCAGTTATCTCCTAACTGTCCTGAAATATCAAGTTCACCTCCAGCTACCTTTAAACTGTCCTGTATTATCTAGTTGACCTCCAGCTACCTGTAAACTGTACTGTATTATCTAGTTGACCTCCAGTTACCTGTAAACTGTCATGTACTCTCCAGAGGGCCTCTAGGTAACTGTAAACTGTCCAATTAACTCTCTAGTTGACCTCCAGCTATCTATAAACCGTCTGGAATATATAGTTGACCTCCAGCTACCTGTAAACTATCCTGTACTATCCAGTTGACCTCCAGCTTCCTACAAACTGTTCTGTACTATCAAGTTGACCTCCAGATATATCTAAACTGTCCTGAACTATCCAGTTTTTCTCCAGCTACCTGTAAACTGTCCTGTACTATCCAGTTGGCCTCCAGCTACCTGTAAACTGTCCAGTACTATCCAGGTTACCGACAAGCCAGCCATCTCCACGTATTTTCTTCCAGGTGAACCCTGCAGGAGTTCCAGCTCTATACCAACCAATATAATCTAGATTTCCATCCAGTGTTACTCCTCTAGATATTATCAGAGATAGACTGACAGATCGAAGAGAACTATTCATAAAATTGAAAGTCGTTGTAAAATTATATCATAAAATCCTATAATCTGTTTTGTGTTCATTCATTCGAATTTAAAGGTTTACTGAAGGGTTTTGTAAATAACAATCCATTTAAAGAAGGGAGATGCCATATTTATAAAGGCTACCCTTTTTTTCTTTATCTGATCAATAATGTGAAATATATCGCCTTCTTCTATCTAAAAATGTTTAATTCTGATGATTTCTTCCCATTTTAGCTGCAGCAGTAAGACGCAAGTTATTTTTGTAGAGAAACCACAATTGAAAATATTTGATTTTAAAGATTTAAATATTAATACCTCATTCATGTTTAATCAGACAACGCTTTGTACGGTTGTAAATCAGACAGACTACTCTATAAATGGAGAGTCACTTCAGAGTCCTTTGAAACACATCTCTAATTTCAAGTTTAATATTTAAATACCTTAATTGAAAAGAATTGTATTTATGATTGAAATAAAGGGTCGTTGTTTTGAATAAATATTTACCTGGCAGGACCATGAAAGTATCCATGTTGGAACCAACCCTCTCTTAAATACAAGATTTCAAATTAACATTACGAACTAGAAAACTCTGGAATAGGAAACCGACTTAAAGGGAGTGTAAGCGAAAAATGAAAGGGGGTATAGGCTCAACGCGATAAAAAAGCGCTTTTGATCACTACTAATCTTACTTGTATCTGTTGCGTCTATAAGGAGAAAATTGTTAAAGACGTCTAATACCGAATAACTTAGCGCCCATATAAATTTAGAAAATTTCAACATACGACTTAGACCGTAAAAAATCAATTTAATTTCAAACAAATCATTCAGATATTACAACCTATAGTCATCGATTATCTTTCGCCGCATTTATATATATTTGATATTTCATAATATGTTTTAATTGTTATGATCTGAGAGTTACTTTTAAAAACATTTATTCCTATTTCGAGGATTTTTGGTAATGAAGACGACATTTTCATATTTTCTAGGAATGTTCGAAAACAAGTTGTCCTTTTCGTTGTGTTTTAAATCAAGAATAATTGGTAGAAATATTGTATTTTTGTCTGAAATGGATTGGATATTTTGGAAAATGTTTGTATCTTTTGGGTTATCATTGGTTATAATATGGTCTAGAAATGCAAAACTTTGTATATTTACAAATCGCGAGGCCGCGAAGTTTAAAGGGAACAAGCCTGAAGATAATATATGCATATTATACTCATTGACATCATTGTTTTGCTTAAGAAGATCTATGTTAGTGTCTGAGAAAATATAGGATTTGTAATTACTGTTATTGAAAATTTCTAAGAAAGATAATAACTCGTTAAAAAATGGTTCAAAGTGATACTGAAATATTTGTTAGATCTGTAATAAGACCCAATTAAAAGTATTTTGTCTAACCAAGCCAAGTATCTACGATTCAAATTTTTTTTCCAATATATTGCAACACCTCCCCCTTTTGAGGTTTTTCGTGAATTTGTAAATAGTTTGAAAGCTTTGATAAAAAATAAGTTAGGTATAGAGACATCCCATAGTTCTTGTAAAACTAAAACTGATACATTACCTCCTGATTTTTCGATTCTATCAAGAAATATTTTCAATTCCTCAAATGTTGATGGCAGACTTTGAATGTTTAAACTAAGGACATTTAATCCGGTAAAATTTCTAATGTTTGATACGAAATTGTTTTCACTTTGATATGTATTTCTAAGCTCAATGTTTGCAAAAAAAAAATCGGGACCCATCATATTTGTTGGATCTAGATAATCATTATTGCTCGTTTTTATTAAGGAAACCTATATAATTTTTCACATCTTCAAGATCATCATGGTCGTTTTTTATTCAATTTAAAAATAATAAAGTTGTAATATCTTTCTCGAAATATGCATGTAATCCACCAAAAAGGGTTGAAAGGAGATAGGATAGGAAGAGGATGGAATTGTGTAAGCGATGGGAAAAAGCTGTGTGTCATATTGATAAACATGCTCAAATAGAATACTTTGGTTTTCCTGTACAGTTCAGTATGCAAATATTAGAAAGGTTGGAAAGGCCTTTAAGAATCAAAATATTAATTTTAATAATTTCATAATCTTGAATTTCCTTAAAGATGCATTTAGCATGAAAATCTTCCCACGCCCGGACAATATTCCGTCCTTGTATTCTCCAGTCAGATGGGTTACTCCGAACTAGAAACAAGATAGGGATTACTCCGAACTAGAAACAAGATAGAGATTACTCGGAACAAGAAACAAGATAAGGGATTACTCCGAACTAGAAACAAGGAATGATGGGTTACTCTGAACTAGAAACAAGGGAGGGATTACTCCGAACTAGAAACAAGATAGGGATTACTCCGAACTAGAAACAAGATAGGGATTACTACGAACTAGAAACAAGGGAGGGATTACTCCGAACTAGAAACAGAGAGGGATTATTCCGAACTAGAAACAAGGGAGGGATTACTCCGAACTAGAAATCCGTGTACCTGTTCAAACCTTGGTCCCAGGATGGTTCCCCATCCTTCTCTTCTCCCTCCTCTCCAGAAAGCTTGGATCTCCTCTCCGTTCTTCAGTTTTATATAGGTCTGTCCGTAAAGTTTCTCCGGCCTTACCATAGTCCATGGTTGTTTTCAGGGTTGTACCTGACTACACCAAACCGGAAATTTCCATATATTCGCAATCTGATAGCGTAGATCTTTAACATTTTAGTAAAGACCTCCAATAGTCAACGTTTGAAATTACAAAGGTCTACAACAAAAGATTGCAAAGATAGCTATGTAGATATCAAGATTATTAAGTTTATGTTTGTGGCAAGTGTTCAGTTCCTTTGACTTATGTTACACTACCTGAACAGATTAATAACTCATAATTTAAAATGAAAAAAATAAAATTAAAATTAAAATTAAAATTTAATTTAAAATTAAAATTAAAATTTAATTTAAAATTAAAATTAAAATTAAAATTAAATTAAATAAAGTCTAATTCAATAACATACAAAAAAATAGCGCAAAAGAAATTTTTGCAATTTAAATATGAATATTTTGTGCATATTTTAATCAGAACGTACAAAAACGAGAAGGGTGATTTGGTTTGATTTTTAAAATTTCTAATTAATAGTACTATGGTTTTCCTGGAACAGTTTTCTATATATTCAATCTTGTCTTTTAACGGAGGTTCATACACAGCACCATACGGGTCACAAACCTACAACAGAAATATAAAATAAACTAGTTTTATTAGGTTTGTGAATAATTGATGAGATTGTATGAATTTAAATAGTAATAAATAAAAACTTTGGCAAACATTTAAACCGTTTTAAAAAATAAAATATTTAAATCTTAACAGTTTTAGCAGCACTAGGTTTGTTTTTATTCCTCCGAAAAAACTGAAAAAAAAACTTTTTTGTAAACAAATATATTGGGATCCCATTCTGGTTTATTTTCCTTGGATGGTTTCATAATTTTCATATCTTTGCAACACAATGTTTTAGACCTTAGATATTTCAAACTATGAATTCTGTTAGATCAAATAATTTTAGTTTGAATATCTAAGTTCATCAAGTTGCAAAGATATAGTAATTAGTAGATTTGAGATTTTGGCACAGACTCAATTTATTACTCGATATTTATTTGATATTTTTTTTACCTTAAATTTAGGATTTCCGGAAAGGGCGTCAGATACAGAAAGTTCCTACAGAAAAATGTTTAGTTTTTAGTTTTAGTTTGGAACTATTTATTTTTACCTCAGGTTCGTTATTGTAGATAAAATCCAAAGTTTTTGATATTTTCTCCAACCACTTTTTTATCTCCCCCTCTACAAAAGAATATTTTTTTAATTGTTGAAAAAATTCTTGAAACAACATTTTTTTATCTTTTTACCTATTTTTGTAGTTTTATCTTCATGTTCTTTAATCTCAGTTGTGATTGCCATTTACTTTTTTATTATATCTGAAAAATTCGTTTTATCTGAAAATTCGTTTTATCTAAAAAAGTGATTATATCTGAAAAATTGATAACATCTGAAAAATTAATAATATCTGAAGCTACCCGGCGTTGCCCGGGGATTTTCAAAATCATCCAACACTCTGCACTAAACGACCTCATTCGCACAAACGGTTAATCTTAGGGATATGTCACCCAGTCCAGGGGCGTCAATATGACATTTTTTATGTTTGTGTCGACTCTCTATTAAGTATAGTACGGTTTGTAATCAGCGATCAGCTAATTGGTAACATAAATACATACAATTTTGACGCTCTGCGGCTCTACTTTTTACACGTATATAATCTTCTGTGTTTTATAACATCTTGTGATTTTTAAGCTTTTATGACGTTTATTAAGATATATTGTCCTCTCTGTTTCATTGAGCGTAAAAAAGACTGAGGTTTATAGAAAATGGACCGTCACCACAATTTAAATATATCTCTCTATTTGTAAATTTTCCTAGATATTGATATGTTTAATTGCCCATTTTTAATAATAATTATCAATGTATCCCCCTCCCTTTGTAGTTTGTTGCTACCCCTCCCATTTGTATCTAGTTTGTTGCAGTTACATTTGCTGTCTTCGGCATTTGCGGAGAATTGTTAAATAACATTTTATATACGCATACACTGAGCTTTCTTGTCCTAGATAGTCGGAAAACTGACCAGTGAAAACACAGTTAATATAAGTTATATAACAACGCATATAAGTGTTGTGCCAAGCCTCCCTGCCTTTTCTGGGGTCCGGGCATAACATTATATACAGGGTTACCCACAAGGAATAAGGATGAGTATTCAGAGACGATTGAACGTAATTTTTGCTGTCTGTTTCCTTAAATTCATAATTTCCTGCAACTAAAAACTTCTTTCTTTCTTTGTCAAATTTTTAAATAAACAATTTGTAGACCCATATTTTGAGAGTTTTAAGTCGTCTTTACAGTCTCATTCTTTTGTGGGTAACCCTGAATCTTAAAGAATGTACAGCTGTACTAGTACTAGATATTTGTTAGCTATATATACGCATACGAGCCAGCTGGATAGGATTTTGTACCGTACCAGTCAGCTGGATAGAATTTTGTACCGTACCGGCCAGATGTATAGGATTTTGTACTTTACCGACCAGCTGGATAGGATTTTGTACCGTACCGGACAGCTGGATAGGTTTTGTACCGTACCAACCAGCTAGATAGGATTTTGTGCTGTACTGGCCAGCTGGACAGGATTTTGTACTTTACCATGGCCAGCTGTATAGGATTTTGTACTGTACCGGCCAGCTGAATAGGATTTTGTAACTCCATTAATTTGTACAAAGAGAAGATGCTCACAGTAGGCCACAATTAAAAATTGAAATATAAGATAGTAGAATTATGTCTGCACTCTATAGTCCCTTTTACTATATATCTAGAAAATCCTCAAAGTTCTTCAATGTTTCTCTAAAGGAATTCTTATTACAAAATGAGAGTAAAACAAAATTAAGACACAGATTTATATTTTAATATTTGTAAAATTAACAATTAGCTCTGAATTTTGTCAAGCTAATCAAAATTTATTATTGACAAAAATTAGAATTTTTTTATTGAAAAAATGAATGTTTCTTTATACACCTTTAATCCGTGTAAATGTATACGGCTTGATGTGCAGAAATAAACTCGAATTTAACCGAACCTTTCCACATTATTGCTGACTTGTGACTAGGTACATTAACTTAGGAACTGGCTTGGTGCATTCTATATTTTTCATCAATTCTTTTTATCAATTCTTTTCATCAATTCTTTTTATCAATTTCTTAAAAATTTTCTTAATAAAAAAAATAAAGTTTTAAAAGTATTTTTATTTCTTATTTCAAACACTTAAAAAAGCAAATATTGTCATTTTAATGATTTGACCCATTCAAATATAAGTAGTAAGAGTTACTACTTATGAGATTTTATCCATTAAAAACACTTTTGTTTTTATTGTTTTTTTTTTTTTGAAAGTTTAAGCTTATTTACATTTGAATACTTTGTTGCACTCAAGACATACGAACTCTGTGTATTTAGAGAACTTCGTTCCTCCCTCTCCTCCCTCTTTGTGATTTGTGATTATGTGCCGTTTTAGAGAATCTCTTCTTCTAAAAACATAAACTTTATATAATTTCCGACTGTTAACGTAATTACATTTTTTTAATGTGTCATCTTCGATATAATATCACGTTAGTCATTTTTAAGCCTTTCATGTTTGTTTGAAAGTGTCATCGAATTTATCTACAGTTTAAAATAAAAATCCTTATGAAATATAAGAAAAGTGTACAGACAACTGTCAGGGGTATATATTAATCAAAAACTCATTCCTTTCAATGTTGAACCAAAAATTGTACGCATGAGCAGGACGCATTTAAAAAAAAAAAATTTTACTTGCTGAATTGGGGAATATAAATGTTTGTTTTTTTGGTAAAAAGTATCAATAAGAAGAGAAAAACATCACTTCAGATAAAAAAATTTTAAAAACATACACCCCTGACTTTTGTAAATTTTAATAACTTACCCAAAACATTTTCCACAGTTAAGGATGGAACAAACGTACATATCTTCGACTTCTCCACAAGATTTCTTATTCCTGTTTAAAGCTTGCTTATGTTTGAAACTTTTAAAACAAACATTGCACAAGAAACCTGCAAAAAAAACTAGTTAAATAACAAAAATTTAGACAGTTTTCATCTCAGTTAATAAGTGCTTAGAAAGATTTTGGCTTCCTGGTTCTGGATCTGCGAAAGTATGGGGATCCATGAATCCGGATCCAAGAAATAAAATATCAACCAAAAATTGCAAAAGCTACTTTTTAACTCTCAAACCCCAAATCGGAACTTTTAAAAAAGAGAGAATATGAAAATTTCCTGCTTTCTTAATGGTTCATCAAATGTTAGCATAAAAATAAGCGAAAAAAATAAGAAAAAAAAATTTAAATTTTGCGTCGTTAAAAACTTTCAGTGAATCTTAAACTAATGACCTGATCCGTATCTGAATCAAAATTTAATAATTTAATCGCAAGCACTGCAGTTATATCAGAAATTTTACTCTTACTGGTTAACATTTTATGATAGTTTGTCAATAATTTTGAAGAATGTTTTTGTATATATCTACCGTATAGTATGTATTTACTGGACACATACATCTACTAACTGTATAGTGTAAAAAAACTTAATTTCAAAACTCTAATAATTTAAGTTTCAAATGTTAGATGAAAAAAAAACTTAGGTTCTTGAGTAACCGTACTTGCTTCCATATATACTTACATCCGTATTCCCAACCAGGTCCATCACGTTCACCAGGTGGCCCTTCTGCTCTTTCTTGTCCAATCCCTCATCCACCACGTGTTACGCCACCAGCACTTCAACGTTCTCAGTCATTCCTTCCTGGTTCAACAGTTAGAAGATATCTCGAAAAGAAAGAAAACTATATACACGGGGAAAAAATCAGAGTATTATAAAAGTACAGGAAGTATATCGCAACACATAGTAAGAGTAGTAAAATACAGAGAAACACAGCATAGTATATATTGAGAGCAGTACAGCACACTCCTTTAATTTTTCATCAATTGGAACACTGAGGTTCCAGCCCTCTCAGCATGCTGGCTGGAGATTGTTATTCTGTAGTAATATCTGTATAATGGGATATATAAAATCAGGAAAAATAACTTTATTTCTTGATTGCTTGTTTTTGAGTAAATTGCTAAAATATATCAAAGTATATTTATAAATCCTTTCCTAACAGGGTCACTGTGTCAGATCTGAAAGCATGGATCCTGAACCCGACCCCGTGGCTTATCAAATTTTGATTTGAACTGAAATATAAATAGAAGCATGAGCTAGTTACAGGTAAAATATAAATGCATTTATTACAAAATCTTGTTTTTGTGATAAAATAAATCTTAAAAATAAAACCTAGGAACTGTGAAAGAAGTTGTCAGATTTTGATAATTTCTAGCTTTTTGGAAAGCCTATTGGAAAGCAGATTGGACAAGTTTTGCAAAGAAACTTTGCAAATTATGTCCATATTAATTATTAAAATTTGCAAAATGTTTTCAAATTTTTTAATGGTATGGTCAAAGGCTTTTCAAAATGTAACTTTTAATGTTTTATGGACATCTTTTGCAAACTTTTTTACTTTATAGAATTTAACAACAAAAAACCCAAATTTTTCAAAGAACCGTAAAAAGTAAGACATTTTGTAATATCTATATAAATTTTATTAGCAGCTGGTTGAATTTTTGAATGTAGACTCATTTAATTGCCTAGGAGCTGGAAATGAAGTCCGATTGTCAAAATCTCTTTCCTGAGACTTAGAACCTCTGAAAAGTGACCTCAGTCGGCTCTGATCTCCGGCCTCCTTGGACATAAACATAAACATAAAAAATCAAAAAATCCAATTTTTGACACTTTGTTTTGGCATCAAAAACTTGAGTAATTTTTTTCTCTGTTTTTAGTGTATTCTGGGTGTCATTGAGAGTCTATATTAAAAAATGGGCTATTTATTTCCAGCAAGGCCGGAGATCAAAAATCAAGCCGACGGAGGTCACCTTTCAGAGGTTCCAAGTCTCCGGAATGAGATTTCGACAATCAGACTTCATATCCTGCTCCTAGGGAATAATATTACATTAATTTTTAAGTTAATTAGGTATAAGGGGTAAAGGGTTAATACAAAATATTTTTACTTTAAAAATGCAAAGCTCAAATTTGCTGACTTATGCTGTATGCAAGATTATTTAAGATGCAGGGGCGGATACAGGATTTAAGTGAGGGGGGGGGCAAGATTTTTTAGGAACAAAAAAATGAATAATTAGGAACAAAAAATCGTGCCGCAGGCGAAATTTTTTTTGACTTAAAAGACTCAAAAAGAGTCAAAATTAATGACTAAAGACTAAAAAACTAGATTTTTAACTTTAAGGAACAAAATTAACAGATTAGAACAGGAATTTAGGAACAATTAAAAGATTGTTTAGGAATTAGGAACAAAATTAAAGGATTCGGACAGGGATTTAGGAACAATAAAAAGATTGTTCAGGAATTAGGAACAAAATTAAAGGATTAGGACAGGAATTTAGGAACAATAAAAAGATTGTTCAGGAATTAGGAACAAAAATAATGGATTAGGACAGGGATTTAGGAATAGTAAAAAGATTGTTCAGGAATTAGGAACATAAATATTGGATTAGGACAGGGATTTAAGTTGGGTCGGACACAGTATTAGCAACAGGAACAATAAGAGGAACATTAGCAAATTAAAAACAAAAAGAAATTACTATTTATACTTAAATGCATCAAAATTAGGACCAATATTATAATTATGATAAATGAGTATTGATAAAGGAACATTACTAGATATGCACAATATTATAACTTAAGTCTAGTTTCTTACAAATTTCTAATTCTAAATTTATTGTTAACAATAACATTTACTTGTTGTCGTTGATTTTTAAATTAAACTGAACAAAAGAAATTCAAGATTTCCATTAAATAAAAATAGCTTGAAATTGAAAAACACATACAATATATAAAATTGGGAACATTTTTTGCCTCAAAATCTCAGGGCCTCCCTGAATCTTTCAGGGGGTGGCGAATGTCCCCCGCCACCCCCCTGTATCCGCCCCTGTTAAGACGTCCAACAGTCCATCGAGTTTTAATATGTAAACTACGAAAAAAAAATTTGAAAAATTAGGTGTAAGCGTAAGGAATATTAATGAAATAGATGCAAGCACTAGTTTTTAGAAAATAAATTATTTGGTCAGTATTTTTAACTTGTTACAAACCTTAAGCTTATCCACTCGATGCCTTTGAGGAATAACAACATTTGTTAAGTTGTAATTTACACAAGCTAGATCAGAGTCTTCTTCACAATCTTCCATGACAGCCTAAATAGATTTCATATCAATTTCATTTTAAATGGTGGACTTAAAAAGGAAATAGGGAAGGATTTTTTATCTGGTAATTTTGGCTCACACAGGAAACTATGCATAACCTTTCAGGGGGGAGGGGGACCATATGCTTTCCCACATTAAAAACTTTTCTGTTTTGGAGAAAATTAAATTTAAAAAACCCAAAATGAGATTTAAAACATTAAAACGAATGCTTGAAAACAAAAATTCAAAAATCTCATTAATGACCTCTGACCCCACGACAGTAATCACTACATGAGGGGAGGGGCTGGGGGGTAATCAACTCTAAGAAATAATTTTCACCCCTGATTTTCTTTTACCTAAGTATAGATAGGGTTATCTGAGTGTGTAAACGAAAAATTCTTGACAAGTTTAATTTGAAAAGTTCTTGTTAAAATTGCTTTCGCGACAATCAGATCAATCTTCGACCCTGGAGGCACCCCGGTTGGAGAATCAGACAGCATCGTAACTAAAAAAAATATTGTTTAACTTGCACAATTTAAAAATAAAATTTAATTAAAAATTGTGAATTTACATAATTAGAACACACAAATTGCATTCAGGGTGAAGAATTAGGGTAGAGTGTACATAATTGTTACGGTAGGCCTTGTCCGGAGGTAAGTTGTGTATGTACTATGTGTATTTTGTATTCAAGAACTTCAGTTAAATATAACATAATCGTACATATTTTACTAGAAATCTCGCCCCCCCCCCCTTGAAATAGAAAATATTGACATACAGGGTGCTAATCACAAAAATAAATTTAGATGCTTTAAAAAAAAATTACCCAAGAGAAGAAATATTCACAATATTTGCGATGTTAGAAAACATCTTGGGTGAAGAGGATTACTGATTGTCTGAGGAATAACAAGAGCGTTCCATATGTTTATAACTATACGCTGGGTTAATAGGAGTTAATAGTGAGTTTAAAGAAAGGAAAAAAGAAATTTTCATGGTTGACAAATTTGTAAATAAAAATCAAAAACATTCATACATTTGTTTGATTTCAAAATATCAAAATGTTTTATTTAAATATCCTTATTTCAATTTTAACTCCCTCAAAGGTATGACGATGTATTCCTAATACGTACTGGGAATTTCTCATGTCGTAAATATTTAGCATCTTGTGTATCTTGATACAAAGAAATCCAAGTGCTTTCATCTTAGTCTCTGAGGAAACACCAGTTTCTTGCAAACAGGTTAGGTAGAGTCACATGAGCCTACAAACCTAAAATATCATATTGAAAAAATAATCGTAAATAATTCTGAATTTTATCACAAGACAATTTATATTATGTTTAAACGTAAATCCTTGAAATTTTCTAATTCTAATTGTGCTATTACATTCTCCAATGAGTTACTATAAAAAAATCATTAAAGTTTACATAATAAGAAAACCGGAACGGAACCTATAGTTGGGATATTGCTTGAATTAATTATTTTTATTAAATAATCCAAAAAATTGTAGATTGTTGTTAACAGTTGTAAATTGTACCTCTGCAGAGGAGCGGTATTTATTTGAAATACAAGCCCTCTCACTGGTTTGAATTGAGCAAATGCCGCATAAATGCCTCAACTTGGGGGCTGAACATTTGAGCTGCCTTCTGGTCTCACTGAACAAAAAAATTAACCAGATCAGAGTTTAAACTTTGAATGTTCACAACGCAAATTTAGTTATCAATTTCAAATGTCTATCAAATGTTGTAGTGTTGTAGTTATTATTCTAATGTTCAATGCTTATAATTTAGAAAATCATTGGATTTTTTTTTAAATGAATAATTACCCCCATCCGCACCACCTAGGCGGTCATTTTGAAAGTCCTTTATTTTGAGTCTTGATTCAGTACTAAAAAACTAAAAAACCGTATTTGGGAGAAAATTATTTTGAGTTTGGGGTTGGAATATTTGTTCAAGAAAGCCAAAATGTTATGAAATGTTTTTAATGTTATGAGTACCTGCATATCATTTCTATCCTCAAAATTGGAAAGTGTTAGGGCAGTAGTCTGGGACAAGGCAGCATCCTTGAAGCACAACTGAAAAATTATCAAGTTTATTGTGCACTGTTCTCTATAAAAGTTTTGGCTGATATTTTGTCTCTTAGATCCAGATTTATGGATCCCCACTCCCTATGATTTTCGGGATCCGGATAAAAGAAGTAAACAAATTTTGGGATCCAGTGGATCAATTTCAAAATTTAGATCCTGTCTTAGCACTGCATGCCCCCCTGGTGAGATAATTTTGTATTAGAGACCAACTATATCTATGATTTCTACATATGTTTCCAAAATGTTCAAAATCAGAATTTACATACCAAATCTCCTCCAAGAATGTCCCTTGAGAGACCATTTGATCAAGATCGCGAAGCACTGTGTGTTGGATCAACTCCTCGTCCTTTATTTATTTATTAAATGATCATAATAAAGAAGTATATGATGAAAACAAAGGTTTTGGGAATTCGATAAGTGAACTAGAAATTTAAATGTTTACTGGGTTAGAAAATTTGAATAGAGTTTCTGTAAATTAATTGAAGGTTAAAATATTTCTTTCAAATACCTGCATAATTTCCATGTGAAGAGCAACTAACTTTTCCCAAGACAAGCAATTTCTTTCCTCCAAACTCATGAAAAGGCAGAACTAGCTCATGAAGATCTTCAAACTTCTGTATTTTTTCTCTTAATTTCATTGAAGCCATGATTGTTCCAGCCAAATTCTTGATGCTTAATA